AATCGAGAACCGAGCGCCTAGCTGCAAACGCTTGTCATCGATTTCGTTACTTCTAACAGCGTTTACCTCCGTTATTGTGGAGACTGCAGCACAAAGCGAAGAGAATGATGCATCCATGCTCACTCTCGCCCCACAACTCTATTGCTTCACTCACGCAATTCTGCTTATACCCTGTCTGAAGTGAAGACTACTCTCGGTAAGAGAAAACACATCTCGACTTCAGGATATCGAAGATTGTTACGATAGTTGGAAATCGGCTTTATGCATGCATGAGTGCTAGTTAGCAACTAAAGGTAATCCTCTTGATTACGGTTTCGCCAATTGTGGTTGACCGACCTGTGGACTAGGCAATTGGTCTGCGAACAATGGGGCGAGACTAATTAGTAGGGGGTTGGCACCCCGCATGGAGGTTACGGTGGCACCTTCGTTTCCTTCCAGGTATGCCGATCGTAATTGCAGTCCATGAACAATACGCTCGTCGATATAAGATGCTTTGTTTTTCTGGCGTTTTTTCGGTCTCTACTGATCAGTTCCTTACAAGTCAGCGCTCAAGAGTCGACTCAAGCACCGGCAAGGCAGATGTTATGTTCTTTCGGACCTATCTGTCGGAATATACTAAGGTTTTCCAAAGGTTCTTTGCACAGAGCGGATTCCTACCAACGTTGCTGCCTCCTGTAAACTTCTACAGTATTTACTTGCAAATCTGACACTTCACCGGGGCTGAGCCTAATCCATCATTGCCCATTACTCATTAGCATAATAACTGTGCGTAAACTCCCACAAAGTAGATAATTCCTCGCCTTTTTTGGAAAAGAGTTCATAATTTCTCGTAATGTGGGAAACTCTAAAATTATGTAGCATTCTATGTAAAATGACGTTTTGAACGCCTATAAGCTTATTTTCTCAAAATAGCTGGTAATACATTTGTCCCCATGTGCACTTTCACATATCAGCTATCACAGTTCCCCCATGTTATTCAACCAGTTGTGACTGCTTGGGATTACGGTAGGAAATGAGCCGCAAATTGGTGCACGTATACGATAGTCAAGAGTAAAATCAAAACATGATTAGCGGGGTTTTAGGACGCCCCGCGGCGTTTCCCCGCTTCGAGTCGAAGCACACGGCTGGATATTAAACACTTCTACACGTGAGCACCGACCACGTCTGACACAAGCCTGAAATTGCTGGATAAAGTTGGCTTTGAATGTATGAATGAAAGTCCTTCTGATATTAACCTTCTACTGGCAGCGGTGCGTTTACAAAAATGGACTCAAAGCTGAGATATAAAAGGGAGGAAAGGAGTTGAAATGAGAGAAGAACACTAGCACTCAACTACAACTGTGCATTGCTGCATCATTATCTCACCGCTGCCCCACCAATATCTTTTGTTTCATACGGAAAAAGCTTGCGAACGCATACAATGGAGAGGTTCTTCTGATGCTTTTTGAGTCAGTTTTAGTAGGACTGCGTACAAGTCTTGCGACAATTATGATTCAAACTAAGAGGAAATGGCATCACAAAGGCAGCGCCGTACTTCTTTAGGTCGACACATCTGCTTGGCATGGGAATTGCTTCCATGCAGCTATTGTTTGAACATCGTCGTCGTCGTCGTCACACTTTCTCTAACTCTCTAGGAGAAAATCGAAAATTCATTCGAATGATTATAAAAGTAGAAGTTCGGATAATTCAAGTAGATCTATGTGAAGTACTTGACTAGCTTTGCCCTGCTCTAAAACTATGCTTCGTGAGCGTCTCCCGGTTTGCTGCTGCAAAATACATAGAAATACGATCCCCCGTCCCGCGATCGTTCACAATGTCTCGTCAAGCCAATTTTTAGTCCTCAGATATATTTATATATACACATATATTTGTATGTATACATTGTGTACCTTTATGCACACAAAAAACCGATGTCATGGAAGATTTTCTCAGAAACTGTCACAACACTACTTGCTATGAGGAATCCTGCTGGTTAGAAGGCAATCTTGCTTGTGTAGGAGTATGGGTTGAAATCTTGTTTTTTTTCATTAGAATATCTGTTCCAAGCGTTTGAAACATTCACTGAATCCTAGTATCAGTCTTGCTCAATAAGAGAATGCACTAAGTACGCATTGACATCAGCAAATTCATAATGCAGCCATTTTCCAACGAAAAAAAAACGTCCGACCTCACATTGAGAAAAGTCAATCGACCTTCGGCTAAAACAACATAATTTCTCCACAGGTATCATGTACTGTACTGATGTTTTCCCCTCAGAGGATCGTCTCATGAGAAAGTGACTTAGCAGGATGGTGCACAAATCGTTGTCGGGAATTGTACCCGAGGTGCTGTCAACAGCAATCGCACGTCTGTTCTGTTCAGACACTCGCATAGCTTCCCATGCTTGCTAGCTACAGGCCGCAAGAGCAAATATTCGTATTTTCTTGAAATGGACAATCCTCTCAATTTATTGAATGCCAACTGATGACTCAACAAGGCTAGAACCAATTTTAAACTGCATAGTTTTAGGAGAAAATGTATACCATCTAGATACAACAAGAACTGCACAAAACAAAATAATAACATAGTCTTTTTCATAGAATCTGCGAGCAATGATGGTAAAACGAAATTGGTCCTAAGAAGAAAACTTAGCACAGCCATGTAATAAGTATAGGAGGAACAAATATACTGTACACAAGTAAAGCCAAGTACCTTATTGTCAAATGTGCTGTGCCAGTTTATGCTTACGCTTATCATCATTCATTGCGTACTTTATGAAATACTCAGCTAAGAGGTATGATATGACACTGAGACTTTATCACATACACAATAAATATACGTTGTGAGGCAATTGAGTTTTCTTTCAGCTAGGGTTCGATGCAAACGCTAGCAGTGGCACAGTGAGCGAGCTCTTTACATGGACCATCTTCATTCACCCTAACCTAATAATCTATTAATATGTTAATGAAAAAGAAACCCAGAGAGACGAGTGAAGCTGGATCAAAGACGTCTTTTGAACCCGTTGATCAGCCTAGGATGTGACATGGGGCTGGGGCATGGACTGCGTTAGGCCCATGCTTTCCAGAGACGAATAAGACAATGGATTAGAATACATTGATGTCATAGGATCTTTAGAGGGATCATAGAAAG